TCTGTCCCCTCAGAGATGAGATTTTTGTACTTCTTCATATATCAGGTAATCTTGCAATTGATTCTGGACATCTTGAATATTATATGTACCTGAATTGTACTCAGATCTAAGGAGCATGGTGGGTTTTTTTTTTTAATTAGCAAGTGTTTCACTGGGTGAGGTTCCAGTCACAAGTTCTGACCTGTCTTCAGTGGGCTGTAATTATAATATCAGTTCAGTTTCAGAGTATACTGAATGAATTCAGATCAATCCTTTGTGTTCATTACTCAACTGCTGTTGTAGAGCCTGGGTGACCTGCCCTGTAGTTCAGTTATCAAGTTATGAATATATCTACACATGTGCAATTTGGAACTGACATCAGAAGTTCATACACTACTCTGTGGGATCACTTTATTGATATCCTTTCAATCTGCAATCTACTCTACACTTTCTTACTCCATGTAGCCTCTCTTTCTAGTCTTCCAACCCAAAACTTGAGTCTTTGGCATCCTCTCTCTGCTGTGTAGTTCTTCCAACTATGTCCACATCTAATTCAAGGAATGGGAAAAGGAACAGAGGATAAAATCAATGGGGATATGCCACACATTATTGATACCACAGCTCCTATGATCAGAAAGAGGTTTTCTTCATTATAATTTTAGGTTCCTGGCTTGTCACCAATAATGTCATTGTCAATATCAAAGAAAATGATACTGCTTGGCAGGTTGCAAGGGAGAGAAGGAAAAAAATAAAGAACTAATATAAATATTTTCCCTACCTTCTATGATCCTAAGTAGTCTAGTTTCCCACTACCAGACCAGAAAGATAGAAATTATTTTGGACATTTTTCTCTCTGAACGTGATGGGCATTTGGGTTTTGAATTGCCTTTGATTCCAGGCAAGGCTATAATGAAGGGAATAAAGTTAAACACAATGACAGTTTGGTGGGACTCAAATCCTAGTTTCCTTCCCCAATCTGCCTCCTACCACTTACTTTTCAAAGTGCTCAAATAGCTTTAAATAACTCAAATAGTGCTCAAATGCATTCTGTTCAGGATTTATATTTGCAGAAAGACAAGGTAGTATGTGCTTACTCCAACTTCTTTAGGGCAAAAACTCTCCATAGTTAGTTATTAATGTTATAATTCCTAAGAGACTTATAGTTCCTTATAGCTTTTTCATCGTTTGTCATTTCTGTGAAAATCCTTACATTGTATGATCTACCAACTGATCCCTCAAAGTCTGCCAAAAGAATTAAATGGTGTATCCATTTTTCACTGGTTGATCCAATTTTAGGGATTAGTTCTTCACACAGCCATATGACAGGAACACATAAAATACAATATGCTATAATGTCAAAGAAAAACTGCAAAAATCTTGACATATAAAAAAGTGAATATATCTAACAATCTAATAAATCTAGAGAGGTAATTAATGATGATAATCCATACAAGTTATTTTTTAATTGAATACATTTAGAGAATAGTAACTGTAATTTTAAAAGGGACATTTGGTTGGTATCTGATTAGCTTTGAAACTGTACAACTCTTGAAAAAACATATTAGGCAGTTAATAAGCCTCTGATGTGAAAAATATGACAATTATTTGCCTTGTCTAAAAAACTCAGGAAAAATAGACATTAAATAACTTTAATAGATAACTTCAATTATCCTGACAATGTAGTAATTATTAATCTTCCTTCCACCAGCAAATAATTAGGCAAAGAAATTATGTAGCCCTTACTATATCAGTCACAGCACATTTAAATAAAAACTCAGAATTCCACCTCAGGGAAAATGAAGATGTAATTTTCCCTATCCTTCAATTAAGTATAAATAAACTCCCTAGGCACTATATATAAAACAAATAAAAGACTGAGGGTGGAGAGTGGAAAGGCAGGCTAGGAACCTCAGGAGCCTAAGACAGATATGTTGGTGTGCTCCTTGAGTTTTCTTTTGCCTTATATGTCCCAGAATTATAGCTGAAGAAGCCAGAAACCAGGAAACACCAATCGTACAGAAAACAACAACACAGCTTCAGGAAACTCCACCTTTCTGAGAAAAAGACCTAATATTCAGTCATCAGAGGCTTGAGAAGAGAGAAGAAAGGGGACAGGTCTGAAAGGAACTGAAGAAAAAATGGCTGAAGCTTCCCAAAGTTGACAAGAAACACGAACCTAGATGTAGGTACAAGAAACTGAACAAATCCCCAAAAGATAATCCCCCAAATCTACACCAATACACTTCACAATTGTATTTTGAAAATGAAAGATAAAGAAAAGTCTTCAAGAAAAGATGGCAACATGAGAAATGAGACAGAATTCTCCTCCCAAACCCCCATACAATATGAAAATACACCAAAAACAACTAAAACTGAAAGAGCAACTGGAAAGAAGACTGTGACAGACTCCTACATCTGGGGAAAACAGAAGACCTCACAGAAAAGGGTAAAGTAGCAAAGCTGCAATCTGGTGGGACCCAAGCCCCTTCCCCACCCCAGCTCACAGGTGGGAGGAAGAAAAACGGAGCAGAGAGAGGGCAGAAGCCGAGGTCTGCTGAACACCCAGCACAGGAAATCTGCTCCGGAGCACAAGCCCACATAACGTGGTGCTCTGGAGATTAGTGAGGTAAGAAAGCAAAGACAGGCACAAAAATTGAAGAGACTTAGATTCCAGCTGCTTGTGGAGAACAGGTACCCATAACCAGCCACTCCAGGACAAGAGAAAGGTGAACACTTTGAAAGACTTCCCAAAGGCAAGAGGGGTGCTAAAGGGGCAAAGATTACACAGAGCTTGCCACTCAGGAGAAAGGGCAGGTGGATAAAATTGTCCCAACACACTCAGCCCAGCAGGTTGGGAACTTTCAGGAGCTTCAGGTGCTCCATCCCCCTGGTCGGTGATGCACGCCAAGGCGCCCACTGCAATATGCAGCCTGCTGCTCCTTCCCCCTGGCCAGCAATAGTTCACAAACCTACTGCCCCCCACCTTGCACCAGGCCAGCCAGAGGGGGGCCCTGCCTATGGCAGCTACAGGGGCATAATGCAGAAGCTCCTCTCTGTGCTCTTAGCCCAATGGCCCTGGCAGTGGAGGCAGGCACTGCAACTGGGAAGCATGAAAGAGCTCTTTCCTCCCAACAGGCACTGGCCCCACTCGCCATCACTCCAGGTGCTAGGCAGCTCCAGAGAGTAGAGCTTTTGGGCACTAGAGGGTGCCACCTACAGGAAGTTATTATTCCAAAGGATTCATTACAAATATGAAATGGCAAAAGAACCTGGTACAAACCCGAATCTCACAAACACCAGAAAGAGGGCTAAGTGAAACTGAAATAACCAATCTTCCTGATGCTGGACAGTTTGTATTGCATGGTAACTTGGTGGCCCATGGTCAGGCATTCAGTCTGTAAGGCCCAGGAGCAGGCCAAGCTCTTTCTCAACAGGACAGTGGCTATCTGTAGAGGACGGCTGAGTGAAGAAAGCCAATCTCAAAGGGCACATGCTATATGATTCCCTTTATATAACATTGTTGAAATGAAAATATTTGAGAAATGGACAACAAATCAGTGTGCGAGGACGGGAGGTAAGTGGGATTGGCTTCGAAATGGCAACGTGAAGGATCCTTATAGCTGTGGAAATGTTCTGTATCTTCACTGTCAATGACAATACCTGGTTGTTAGGCTGTCTGTCCTCTAGTTTGCTGGATGTTACCACTGGAGGCATCTGAATAAATGGCATGTGGGAGCCCTCTGTATTCTTTTTTACATGTGAATCTACGATTAACAATTAAATGTTTATATAGAAAATAACCGTCTATTCTTGTAGTACACCCTTACCACTCAGGTATGGAGACTCTATTCTGTGTAAGTACTCAACATTTGAAAATTTCTCAAACTGTGACCGGTATGACAGCTAATCTGCAGCCTGCAGAGTCCCCCCTGCCACATAATAAGTCACTTCCTGGCCCACCAGGAACATAAACATTTATGCCACTTTTTATCACACCCATAATAGTCTTAATTGTTGATATTTGGCCTAGCTAGTTATCTCTCTGATCTTCAAATACCTTTAATTCTTAGCAAAAATTTCTGTCTCCCTTCCTAATGAATTTAATAAAAACAAGTTGAGAGTCACTCAACACCAAGGTGTATGGCATTTTTCCTTTTATAGAACATGAACATTTTAAGCCGGAGGTTCTTCTAATGCCAGAAATCCTGTTGCTCACCACCACCCCTGCCCCTCAGGATGTACTTCTCATTTGCTGCCCTGGAGGGCTCAATGCTTAGACTTCTCAGTAGTTCAGTCACAGAATGCAAAAGGGTACAGCTCTTTCAGACATTTACCTTCTGCTGTCTGAGAAAGGGCCTGGGCTCATCTGTATGCAGGGATGCATATTAATATCACCTTTAGGGATTCCTGTAGAATGAAAGGAATTGGCTCCAGATGGATTCTGCTACCTTCACCTATGGCCGTGAGGGATACTTTTATATCTTGTTTAAATTGCAAGAGCTTGAAACCTAAAACCGAGAGCTCAGAAATCATGGAATACACAACCAATAATACCTGGTTCCCTCTAAGAACCCGCCTGGAGACAAGGGTGCCCATCACAGACTGTAAAGAAAGGACACTTGGAGCCACTGCCAGCTCATGTAGGGTGCCAGGACCCTCTCCCTTCAGAGCAGTGGCAGCTGTAAAGTCTGAGTGGGACTGTATTCAGTTGATTTCAGGATCAGAAGGAGAGAACTCAGTATTGTTTACCATGAACATGACTCTCCTGTCCCTCCACAAAAATGAAGCAAGGGAATTGATGGAAAAGTTTTGAGCTCAGCTCTTTACAGACTTATTTCCCAGGACAGAATGAAGTAAAGAGACAAGAAAAATGTTCCCCTGGGGGACTCTATGGTTCTGTCCTCCCCAGCGGAAACTTTTCACCTTTTTACAGACACGAAAATTACAGGGATGAACTAATGACATCCTTGCCTTTAAACCGTACGGGTTGCTCTCCCGTGCACAGATCACCCCACACGTCCATGCGGGTAAGTGCCTCTGGATTCCACAGACTTAGAATCGGGGGTGGGGGGCAGGTCTAGGCAGGGGGTAGAAGGAGGTAGACTGGGTCTGATAGTGAGGCTTTGGTAGTAAACATCCAGCTCTGACAACCCTTCTCAGCCCAGAGGATTCTTTTTTTCTTGAATGCAGTGGAGATGTTTTCTTAATATGTTCATCACTTAATTTGGTGACACTCACAAAAATGAGTTGTTTTTTTATATGAAATAACTTATCTTAGATTCACATTCATTTCTCTGAATAAAATTAATTTCACTGACTTGTATCTGTTCTTAAGTAGACACTATTATCTACTCATTTTAGACTCAGACTTTACTAATGCATATTCATACTTTCAGTCATCAGATTGGATGACAATTTTAATGAAATATACTCGTTCTGCTGGTTTCATCTTCAAAAACTAATAGAACTATTATCGCAAGGTGCCATGTAGTGGTTTGTGTAATTAAAAAAAGAATACAAGCTAATGATTTTCAGTTGTTTACAAGGAAAGAGGGTTTTGTTCGTAACATCCCTTTATAAAGGAGTTTAACATTCCAAACACACTGAACAGATGTTCTCATGAAAACTTTTCTTGTCACAGCTTTAATTTCACCAATTTCACATTAATGACATACCACTTAAGCTTGTGCTCTCGTAGGAAATTTTTAAAGACTCAGGGAGGATGAGTCTGCAATTACATTAACAATAAACAGAGTAAGTGATAGTTCCACCTGGCTCCTAGGACATAAGAACATAGTCTCTTGGAATTTGGCAAGAAGAAAGAGTATTTGTGTCCACTTGTTGATTTATTTTTGTATACTATTTTGTATACTACAATGCTATATTGAAAAATATCCTTTCCCCTTTCAGAACCCATTAGTTAGGAGGGCAATTTAGGACCAGGTAAACCACCTCTGGCTCTGACATCTCTGTGTAGGTTTTAGGATATTTTTCCCAGCCTATATTTAATGTATTTATTATGAACAGATAAATGTGAATTACTTATTGTTATTAAGAAACAAAGAATACAACAAAAAAGTAAAAACTGTTTAGCAAGAAAGCCAGAGTTGGCTCTTATTGCATTAACGGGTGGATCAGGAAGCAGATTCCCAAGCAGGCCTGTTGGGCTTCCCAGCACTGCCTGCGTAGTGTTTGTGATGAAGTGTCTCAAGGGTTTCTGCTTGTATTCTTTGGAAAAATACTTTTTCTTCTGATTTGTCTCAAAGCAGACTAAAAGTCTTGGCACTCTACATTTCCCATGAGTAGTCTGAGTGGGCCCCTCCACTCCCTTCTATCTGCAAACACTGGGTAATTCTCACCCAGGTGCTGAGTGGGGATCCGCTGCCAGCCCTCGTCCGAATGCTCCTCCTGTTTGTCTGCATTCTGGGGAGTTTGTACATTGCACAAATATCTCAGCACACAGCAGTGACATCTAGCTGGTGATGATTTCGCTTCCCAGACTGTGCAGGCTGCTCCTCCATAGTTCTTGTCACGGTTTCCCAGATACGGTTGGTAGAGCGCATTGCCCAGTATGCGCACAGCCTGAACCGATACCCGTGTGCATGACCAGTATCACCCTCCGGATCCTTCTGTCTCCTTTTACTTTAACTTACAGATGATGACGATGATGATGAAGCTGGCCTATATGATAACAGCATCCCGAAGCACACTCTTTCACGTAGCTAAGGCACACCGCAAAGTGCTGTGTATCACATTAGTTACACTTCATCTCCACCTAAGAGGCAGGCATCATTACGTTCTTGCTGCACATGAGAAAACAGATGTCTCTTCCTTCCCCCTGTAATCTGTCCCATCCACAAGGCCACAGGCGCCCAGGTCTGCCCTGGAGTCTGGGGCAGGGTTCCCTCCTCACATTGCACTCTCCCATCTCCGGACCACGGGCCCCCACGTACTGACTTCAGCAATCTTCACCAGCTTGTAGTCCACTTAACGATATGATGGATCACGTGACCACCCATGATTTGGGTCACCACAGGATGACACAGTGTCTAAAGTAAATGCTTCCTTGACCAGACTATTAAAGAGACTGTCAGCTGTGTCCCTCTTTTCCTGAAGGTACCTCAGCCCGCGCCCTCAACCGTGGGATCTCCTGGTGGGGAATTTCAAGATAAATGCGGGGCTCCACTGGCCAGTTCTGAGTCCATTTATGCTCCACTCTCCTCACCTGACCACGCTGTCTTTCCTTCCTCTTTCACAGTGTGGCCTCTCTGTGACCTATTTCAGAATTTTCTTGCCATGTTACTTTCTCTGTGATTTATTGCAGTATGTTCAGAACCTCAAGTCTCTCTGAGCGCAGTTTGTTTTCTCCAGTGTGTAAAATGAGAGTTTTGTGCCTGTCATAGTAGGAGATCCAGGTCCCATCTCAGCACCGACCACTCCTTGGAGCCTCAGGAGAGGAAGGTCCCCTAGATCAGCCTGCTGACGACAGAGTTCCCCGTCTATCACCCAGTCGTGTGCAGTTTGTGGGTAAGCCTGAAGCAATGCAGGGGAGACGCACAAACAAGATCTGTTTAGCCTGTTATACAATGCTCATTTTCTCCAGGCTACGTTTTCTCATAGAAATGTTACCACAGAAAGTGCGGTATTATAATATTATAATACCTAATATTTTATAATACTTAAATTATGAAACATGTATCTGGGGTCTGTGTCTTTGGAGAACACTGTATGCTTTCAGACATATTTACTGTTGTCTCTCCTGGCACTCCATGGAAGCAAGTGAACTGGCTGCCTACGGATGCACCAAAGTGTCACTTCCCCCACTCAGTGCTCTGGAGAAATGAGATCAGCATATTCTTCTCCGACAGTGGAATTTATTTCTTAGGAAGGTAAGACCTTCCTGGGTGTTTGAAGACTCATCTGCCTCAGCCACAATTTCCTGAACATTACTGCACGCGTACAGCGCCTGCAAACTCCTGCGTTCCCTGAACGCTTGTATTTGGAAGAATCCGTTCTCTAACCAAAGTGACACAGTCCAAGACTCCAACTGAGAGTGGCCAAAACATGCCCCTTGATCAGTTTTGCGATGCTGTGTGTTTCTAAGTCTCAATTTTTAAAACTGAATTGGTGTGAGGCTTGTTTCACAGGAAAGAAAACCTGAAAAATGAGGAAATGCTTCCCACAGTATACAGTAACTTTTAACGTGGAGGAAAACTGTAGCCCCGGGGAAGCCCAGCAATGACACAGCGACCCAGCCTCGGCTGGGAGGTGGGGGGCTGTGCAGAGGGTGGGGACGGCCTCCGGAGGGTGTGAGGGTGGCCTGAGCGCTGCAGGGCGGGAATGAGGCAGCAGGTCAGTCCGCGTGCTGGATAACAGCTACAGCACCTGAGACTGAGGAGGCAACGACAGTCGTGATAGAGATCATTTTCCCCATTTTTCTCCCCAGTTACTTACTATCTGTTTCTTTCCCTGTAAGTATAGGAGGAAACAGCAAGCCTCCTAGTACTATTGGCGTAAGAAATGCCTTTTTCTCTGAAGTTGCCATTGGGATCTCGGCCAACACAGTCCTCCTCCTTTTCCACATCCGAGCACAGGCCCAAGCCCACCGACCCGACCATCGCTCATCTGGCTGGGACCCACACGGTGATGCTCATCACTGTGGGTTACATGGCCATGGGTATTTTTGGGTCTCCTAGTCTCTGGAACGACTTCAACTGTAAGTCACTTATCTACTTGTATAAGCTGATGAGGGGCCTCTCCATTTGCACCACGTGCTGGCTGAGCGTGCTCCAGCCCGTCATCCTTAGCCCCAGAAGCTCCTATCTGGCAAAGTTCAAATGTAAATCCTCACGATCTAACCTGGCTTCCTTTCTCTGCTTATGAGTCTACAATATGGCCATTAGCAGTCGCTTCTTACTGTCCACTGTTGCCACCCCTAATGTGACCTCTGGCCATCTTCTGCTTGTCACTGTATCCTGCTCTCTTTGGCCCCAAAACTACTTCCTCAGGCAGATATTTTTCACACTGGTGGCCTTCCAGGACGTCACCTTCTTGGGGCTCATGGCTTTCTCGAGTGGCTACATGGTGCTGCTCCTGTGGAGGCATAAGAGGCAGTCGACCTTGCATTCTAACAGCACCAAACGTTCTTCAAAAGCTTCCCCCGAAAAGAGGGCCATGCAGAACATCCTGTTGCTGGTGGGGCTCTTTGTGGCCATGTACTGTGTGGACTGTGCTGTCTCCTCCCCCAGGACGGTGTGGTACAGTGAGCCTGTCCGTCTGTATGTCCAGATTCTTATGGCCAATGGCTATGCCACCATCAGTCCTCTGCTGCTAATCAGCACCAAAAATCGAATGATCACTTTCTTTAAATCATGTTGGGAAGGAAAGTAATAGTTAAATTATCCAGTGGTGGAAAACTTTTCAAAAGATGAATGAATTCAGTGGCTTTCAAGTGAATATCCGTGGCATTCATGATATGCTCAGTTAATGAAATTTTGTGGAGGTAGGTTTTTCTGTTAAACCTACTTACTCTGATACATGTTGCTAAGTATATACTAGATAATTTAACTGTGTTCTTATCTGACATAACACATGATTTTCATATTTCTGTTCAGGGGAAGCAGGGAGACACCCACAGGGCACAGGGCGGTTCTCATGTGTCACTGCCTGGGTTAGTCACACTACTTACAGGTGCTGGATGGCTCATGGCACTTTTTTAAAAGCCTTTATTCTCAGTGAGCTGTGCTTAGTCTGACAAGGTAGTACACATGTATTCTCCTGGGTGTGTCAGTTTTCTCACTTAAAACCCCCTTTGAAATGGCTTTGCCTTCCTTTCTAATTGCCATGCTAATAAAATTTTTGAAAATATGTTAAGAGTTGTTCCAGATCAAGCTGTCTAAGGTTTCTGTATGCAGAGTGTGCACCTGGAAGAGCTGGGTTCATGTCCTGTATCACAGCCCTGGTCCAGCATGATCTATTCCCAGATACTTTCTCGCAAGTGACAGCGCTGGATTTCTTACTGGCCTCAGTATGCAGTGCTGTGCCTGTCTCGTGCAAAACTTGTCCATTATTTTCAGTATGTGTGTTCCAAGTGACCTGGTAAATGATGTGAATTCATTAAAATGCTTATTGATCTATTGCACCATCCAGGGCAGGGAAATTATTTTTGAGTAACTCTTGTATAAACAAGAACAGTCACCCCAGTGATTCCTCAAATACTAAAGGAAACAGACTTTAAAGTGATTTTTCAGCTCTTATCCAAGTACATAAAAGTCATAGAGGACACTTCACACATTCCATTTAACTTGATAACGATTTTTGTGTAAATGAAAGTGTATGCTTACCTCATGATGATTTAGGAGGTCAGGCAAGGCCCTATATGTAATGACCCAACAGCCACACATCTAGGGCTAAATATATTGGAATTATTTTTGTGAAACATTTTGTAGTCACACAGATGTTATAGTTCATATTTTACTTTACCTTCCAAGATGGTTTCTCCATTTTTCTAGCAAGAGAATCAGCCTCTTTCATGGGAAAGTCATTTCTTTGGTTGTTTTGACATTGTCAGCCATGAGTGGGGGTTACAGGATATTACATGGTTCCGGACAATGAAAGTTCTCCATGGCTGTGGCCACAGTAACTTGACTGAATGGATCTGATCATACACAGGCCAATCGGTTTCTACTGTGAAACCATTCCTCTGGAAATAAGGATGACATTCCATTTTTTCTGCTTTTACTGAAGTTTTGAAGGCTTTGGGATGTTACAGAAAAAGTCCCAAAACATCTGTCATAGATGAATTGGATTTTTTTATAGTAAGAACTACATAACATGTATAATAAAGATCGATTATTTGGGGAACATGTGGGATGCACCAAATGGGAAACTATTTGCATGATGATCAGTAGTTGCAGGATGACTGGAGAGACCAGACTCAGAGCTGTGGGCCTGAACCAAGACTTTTAAGTTGCCAAGAATCACAAATCAACACAATCCTCAGAGAATTTGAGTAATGATATCTTTTCATTTCCTATATAGACCTATTTTCAAGGTTCATGCTATTCACAACAAGTGAAGCATCTTTATGCAAGCTGATATGCTGTTAATCAGGTTATATTTTGACCCAGATCAAGAATATTTGGCAAGATGGTGGAGAGGGAGTGATGTCAGCAAAAAATGTGCAGAAAAGGACCTCTGAAAATTCCCCCTTCCATAAAAATAATGAGACAAGTAGCAAATATTGTCAAAATAAACTTTTTCAAAAAAGTTGCAGGGGGATCACGGGAAGATAGTGGCATGAGTAGTTCAGAGGAAATCTCCTCCCCAAAACATATATATTTATGAAAATACAATAAATGCAACTATTCCTAAAAGAGACACCAGTGGATGCAGTACAACAGCCAGGATACATCTACATCTGTGAGAACTCAACATCACACAAAAGGGGTAAGATACAAGCCGCGGCCAGGTAGGACCCAAATGCTCCCCCACCCCAGAACCCAGTGGGAAGGAAGGAGTTGGAATGGGGAGGGAGTGAAAGCCCAGGACTGCTAAACAACCAGCTCTAGAAATCCACACCCAGAGCACAGACACAAGGTACACGGGGGCTGGACATTAGAGAAACGGAAAAGCAAAACCTGTGGGCAGGTCCCCACAAATGGTGCCCCTGAGACAAAAGAAAAGCGAGTGTTTTCTGCAAGCCTTAAAGAGACAGGGACCCCATAGCTGGAAGAAGTCATCCCGGCACACTTAGCCAGCAGCTGGGAATCCTTGGGAACCTTAGGCACCCTAAACCCCGGGGAGGCAGCACAGCTCTGAAGCCCCTCACGGCACTAAGCAGCCTGCCAGTCATTCCTCCAACCAGCGTGGACCCCAACACACTGGCCCAGTAGCGGGAGAGTGGCAGCGTGTGCCGGGGGCGGCAGCACCAGAAGGGACCGGGAGCAGATCGCGTGCGCCAACGGCACCAGAGGGGACCAGGACAGGCTTGTGTGAGCCTGCAGTGGCCGCAACTGAAGAGCCCGGGTGTGGCTCGTGCGCACCGGTGGCAGTGGAGCCAGAGGAGCCCGGTAGAGGCCCACGTGGGAGAGCCCTGCGTGCACCTGCAGCAGAGCCAGAGGGAGCAGGTGTGCTCTCAGCAGCCGATTGGAATCCCAGCCCAATGTGCAGCCACCTGGGCAAGACCCAAAGGCTGCTGCTGGCACACAGCTGCCCGGCAGGGGCACCACTATCACGGAGGAGCACACCTGGCTTGCCTGCCACTACCCACAGGGCTCTGTGCTGCTCTGACAGAGACCCAGCCCACAGCAGCTTATGGGATTAACCCAGTGGCTGCTCCAGGAGTGCGGGTAACCAACACAGACAGCGGAGAAGGGCAAAGCATCCAGCAAGCAGGAAAGGACTTTCTTCTCCCAGCTGACACACCCGCAACCTGCCTACAGCCACTGTTATCACCATGAAAAGGCAAAAAAACAGTCCAGTCCAAGATAGTTCAGGCAACACCTGAGAGAGGATATGCAGAGACAGACCTAACCAGTTGCCCTGAAAAAGAATTCAAAATAAAAATCATAAACATGCTGACAGAGCTGCAGAGAAATAAGCAAGAGCTAAGGGATGAAGTCCTGAGGGAGATTACAGACATCTGGAGGGAGATAACAGAAGTGAAACAAACTCTGGAAGGACTTATAAGCAGAATGGATAAGATGCAAGAAGCCATTGATGGAATAGAAACCAGAGAACAGGAATGCATAGAAGCTGACACAGAGAGAGATAAAAGGATCTCCAAGAATGAAACAATATTAAGAGAACCATGTGACCAATCCAAAAGGAACAATATCTGCATTATAGGGGTACCAGAAGAAGAAGAAGAGAGAAAAAGGGGTAGAAAGTGTCTTTGAAGAAGTAATTGCTGAGAACTTCCCCAAACTGGAGGAGGAAATAGTTGCTCAGACTACAGAGGCACACAGAACTCCCGAGAGATGGAAACCAAAGAGGACAATACCAAGACACATAATAATTAAAATGGCAAAGATCAAGGACAAGCACACAGTATTAAAGGCAGCCAGAGAGAGAAAAAAGGTCACCTACAAAGGAAAACCCATCAGGCTATCATCAGACTTCTCAACAGAAACCTTACAGGCCAGAAGAGAATGGCATGATATATTTAATGCAATGAAACAGAAGGGCCTTGAACCAAGGATACTATATCCAGCACGATTATCATTTAAATATGAAGGAGGGATTAAACAATTCCCAGACAAGCAAAAGTTGAGGGAATTTGCCTCCCGCAAACCTCCTCTACAGGGTATCTTAGAGGGACTGCTCTAGATCGGAGCACTCCTGAAAAGAGCACAGATCAAAACACCCAACATATGAAGAATGGAGGAGGAGGAATAAGAAGGGAGAGAAATAATCTTCAGACTGTGTTTATAATAGCTCAATAAGCAAGTTAAGTTAGACAGTAAGGTAGTAAACAAGCTAACCTTGGACTTTTGGTAACCAAGAATCTAAAGCCTGCAATGGCAATAAGTACATATCTTTCAGTAATCACCCTAAATGCAAATGGACTGAATGAACCAATAAAAAGACACAGAGTAATAGAATGGATAAAAATGCAAGACCCATCTATATGCTGCTTACAAGAGACTCACCTCAAACCCGAAGACGTGCACAGACTAAAAGTCAAGGGATAGAAAAAGATATTTCATGTAGACAACAGAGAGAAAAAAGCAGGTGTTGCAATACTAGTATCAGACAAAATAGACTTCAAAATAAAGAAAGTAACAAGAGATAAAGAAGGACATTACATAATGATAAAGGGTTCAGTCCAGCAAGAGGATACAACCATTATAAACATATATGCATCCAATACAGGAGCACCAATATATGTGAAACAAATACTAACAGAATTAAAGGAGGAAATAGGATGCAATGCATTCATTTTGGGAGACTTTAACACACTACTCACTCCAAAGGACAGATCCACCAGACAGAAAATAAGTAAGGCCACAGAGGCACTGAACAACACACTAGAACAGGTGGACCTAATAGACATCTATAGAACTCTACATCCAAAAGCAACAGGATACACATTCTTCTCAAATGCACATGGAACATTCTCCAGAATAGACCACATACT